CTGTATATCCAACAGAAATGATTGTTTATATCCTCCAAAAGCATGTAGAAGATAATATTCATCACCTTTCTTCTCGGTAGTCAAACTAGAAATAATCACTATATCTGTCATCAGAAAACGTAATGAATTAGACTAAATTACTATATTAAGGTGGGAGAAGCTCACACATATGATATTGAGCAATAGAAACCAGCACAATAATAATTGTATGTATGTGTATGTATGCATATGTGTTTATGATTCTAGCTACATTCAATTAAAAAAAAACAGTCTACAAGTGAGGTGTTACTGATAGGCAAGAAGAGAGAGACTTTTAGGGTGCCAGACCTTTTTTTTTTCCTGATTATCTGAGTAGTGGATACAAGAGAGTAACACATGTAAAAATTCAACATATAAGCACTTCCTAGTGTATTAATTGTATCTGAATAGAAAAGGTTTTAAAAATCAGTTTGACTTTAGAATTTAATTTCTCTAAGAATTGAACAATTAGCTAGACTTTGAGAGGATCAACATTTTCAATATACCTGAGACAATGGAAAATTGTTCAAAGTGTAACAGTGAGTATTTGTAAAGAGGCAAAAACGTTAAAAGTTCAACAGCAGTTTTAGCAGCTTCAACATAAGCTCCTACACACTTAAAGACTCCAGTAAGAAATGGTTCAGTAGGGTCTAAACAATATCTCCAAAATCAGGTCAGTCTTCTCTGTTGCTACTCTGCATTCCTCCTTCATTCCCAATCTCTATGAAGGGTCTGCCATTCACTTACAAGGACTCAAGCCAGTAATGTTGGAATTATCTTTGACTCTTCTCCACTCCCATCAGATTATTTCCACCTCCCATATCCATGAAATCAGTCCTCTCTTCCCCCCAATCTACTACAGTCCACCTCTCACCGTCTCTGGCTTGGATGAACACAGCTGCCTATTACTTGTCTTTACCCACTTGCTAGACTACTGTCTTTAAATCTGGAATTGATCATGTGACCTCTCTGCTTAGAATTTTGCTCTGATTTCCTGTTATTTTTAGGCTCAGATCTGAACTTCCAAACATGGTACAGAAGACCCTCCAAGCTGGCTGCCTACTTTTCTACCCTGTCTTCTCATATTTCACGTGGCACACCATCTTGGTTGTTGATCAGTAAGCACTTTCTCCCCACCTGCTAGCTCCTTGACCTTCTATAGTCGTCCAAAACTCAGTTACAGCCAGCACTTCCACCCCTCTGAGGCTGAGTGATTTATTATCCCTCTTTGCATGAGTTACCCTGCACACCGCTCTGAGAAGTCAGTGCTATCACATTAGCTGGTCCATTCCACTGTGTGCCACAGGACTGTGAGCCATACTAAGGCAGGGACTACATTGTTAATAATGCAGCTCCACTGGTTAGCCCAGAGCCTGTAAGGCAAGTTGCAATATATGCTTTTTGAATTAAAAAATAATGATAATAACAATATGCATGTAAAGCATATTGGTTTACATACTGGTTAAACATTCACTTCAATGAGCATAAAGCCAATCTCTGCCATTGCCTTAGGTCTCTAGGGCTGCCAACCTAAAGCAGCCTTAAGGGTGTTAGTGATTAGTGTTCAAAAATGCTAGGTAAGAGGAAGGCCTGAGTGGAAGTTCTTGATGGATACAATGTAGTGAAATCTATTGCTAGAATATTCCATGGCAGGATGAATTGTGTCTCCATTTACCAAGAATCAGGAGAGGCAGAATTACCCAGAAACTATGATGCTCATGTGTTCCATTCTAAATAACATGATTACTGAAAACATAAAATTAACTTTGTGTGTTGTTCTTTTCTTTTCTGGAGAAAAACAGTTAATGAACCACCTAGGTATATGGCTTTAAGTATATTGATTGGTAGAAAATTTTACTCTAATGAACTTCATAAATGATTCATTCATAAATCAATCTGAACTATGTGTATATGCTGCACTATGTATACTATGCTTTTCTAAATACAAAACATTCATTGTTCCATTGTTACCTTGTAAGTTTCCCAAAGGATTTTTTCCCATTCATATTATAATAAGAAACATGCTGTATGACTTCAAGTAAATATGAGTTTGAAGAGAAAGGTAAAAACTTGCTAAAGAAATAAATATTACAAAGGAATTTTCAAAATCTAGTTTTCAAAATAATTAACTTCTAATATCAGAATGATTAATTCTTAAGACTGACTTTATACACCCTTGCCAAGAGTCTGCCTGCAAAACACTTAAAATTTAAAAATGTAAAGCAAAGACACAAAATTTAAACTATTGGACAACTTATTCACAAAAACACTTCAATATTCCTAAGTACTAAGTTATGAACTAATGAAGATTAAGAGAGAAAGAGAGATGAAAAATAGGATGTGTTTCATTTTATCATATCAAAATAGCTCTCAAAACTGTTAACAGCTCTTTGGGCTTCATTTATTTAAAATCCTCTAGAAAACAATAGCAAAGAGTGGATTCCAAAATAAGAACATAAGGATCAATCCCACTTCTACTCTGTGACCCATAGAAGGTGACTTTTGCCTTGCCATGCCTCTTTGATGTCATGTGTAAAATGGACTTAACAGTAGGTCTACCTCTTGATGTGCTACATCTGCTAAAACTTATTTAATCCATGGAATGTGCTTAGAAGTTCACCTCCATAATAATAAATGCTAGCTGTCACTGTCTCCTACTTGTGACTTGTTGCAATGCCCCATGGGACTAGTACAATGATAAATATGTTATTATGAACAATAGTAAGCAATAAAAAGACTGTATAGCTAGTCTTGGAATGATCAGTTAGGTTCTGAGGGCTAGGAAAAAGTGACTAACATCCTGCATTTTGCAGAAGTGCTCAATTGAGTTTTGTAGTGAATGAATTTTTTAAAGATTGAAATGTAATGAGGAGTTGGGCCCTCATTGAATGTACCTGTAGTTCCTCCAATCAGATATGTAATGAAACACTACTATAAAGACAACCAACTAACTGCACAAAAATATCTTGAACAGATCTATGAACATTAATATTTTGCACTATGAATAATAAAAGCTATAATATGAAGTAAGACTAACAATGAGACTTACGGGAAAGAAGAAAGCCAGATTCAGTGGTTAGAAATAACTACCACTAACTCTTATATTCTCCTTTGGCAAAGTCAAATTACGTATGCAGTGAGTCAATCAAATTTTTATGATATCTAGTTATAGATTACAACTTCTTGATCAGATCCCTAAGAATTTATCTTCTCTTGATCCACCTCACAGAGCAGGCTAATTAATTACAAAACAATAATACCTTAGCCACCACTCACTAGGAGTTTATTAGGTGCCAGAAACTATGCTCATTAATCAGATCTTCATTTTTATGTGCTTTGGTTGTGGTTGTTAAATATCTCATCTTTAAAAAGCAACTTATTCCATCATCATAACCACCTGTATTATATATTTATGTTCCAAAGAAAATCTTGGGGTGAATTTACAAAATATTGAAATAAAAGCACAGAGTGGGGCTGAGATTGTGGCCTAGCAGCAGAGCCCTTGTTCAGCACGTGCAAAGCCCCATGTTCAATCCCCAACACTGCCAAAAAAATAAAAGCACAGAGTTATGGTCAGAAAATATTATCTCTCATGCTGATAGTTATCTTCCTGATAGTTAATTCACATTTTAAAATGTGAATTATAATGAGAAAGATTTGTAGTAACTTCTTTTTTTCTAGGAATTCTTATAAAATAATTTTCTCAAGGGCATAGAATAGAATCAAGCTGATTCTATAACTTGCTTTGCTTCTTCCAGAGAGAAACAGGGTACTCTGTCAAGTGTTAGTCAACAATAAACAGAAACCAACACAAGCAGGACAGAACTATCAGCTTTCCTTGCCCTCCCATCTTTTCTAAATAGAAAACATTCATTGTTCCATAGTCACCTTGTAAGTATACCAAAGGATTTCTTTTCCTATTCATATTGTAATACCATTCATTACAGTCTATCAATTACTTCTACTTCATATTATAAATATGCCTGTGCATAGTATGATAACTATCAAAACCTAAAATGTTCCATTCATAAAATAAGCAAGCCAAGCTTAAGACTAACTAAAAATACCCTTTGGCTATTTTATTTTTTGGTTACTTTTTTATCTTGAAATTCAGTATTCAATTAATTTTGGAAAATACAATTATTTCTACCAAAATCAACATTGGTAATGCACATCACCGCTAGAAAATTCTCATTAAGCATCATGTATAAAAAAATGAGTAAAAATTTAACCAACAAATATGACTCACCCACACACATAAAAACTAAAACAAAAATGAAAAGAAATACACTTGGAGATGAGGTGGGATATGAAAAATCCTCATCTAGTAGAACATTTTTTTTCCCATTGAGAAAACAGACTACCTGCCATTTTCTGACTACAGGTATAGTTTATGTCAGTACTAAAATGTAGTCCAAAGCACAGGCCTTGGCTGAAAAGTTGTTCCCATTCTTTAAACTCACTAATGACCAGAGGCAGAAGGGGGAAAGGTATTGATGAGCCCTGGGCACCTGCATTGCCACAGGGCATTGATATGCCTCTAAGAAAGGTGGGGAACAGAGAGCAAAATGAGCAACTGAGCAATTGCATAGTTAATGCACTATTCAGTTTTCATCCTGAGAAACTTTGATTCTATATCCGCCATCAAATGGCCTGACAATCAAAAAAGAAAAAAAAAATTTAAAAACCCTAAAATTCTACATTACCACCAATGTGTAATGGCAAAATCATACAGTACTTTAAGAACTCTTCAAATTCTAGCACAAATATATATAGTACACTGAATAAAACGTGTGTTTGCCATTACTTTGGTTCAGTTGATCAAAACACAGAATTTTGTTTTTTTAATTTATATAGAGTCAATTCTTCTTTCTCAGGATTTTTATCCTTCATATATTTATTTAATAAGGCTAGTGTTAATATCAACCGCATTTTTAAATTTAACCCCCCAAAAGGAAAATACATCTAATGAAATGTCATACCTGGTGGTACTTCCTGCTGTTCTTCTGCAGCAGGAACACTTACTTCTAAAAATGAACAAGAAAGTCACAGTCCATTACAGTTGCTGATGACCAGAGTTTAAAACACAGATTGGTAGTACTGAAGTAATGGTGATTATTTTTACACTTTAAAAAATTCAACTGCAATTATCATAAAAACATTGCTTTTATAACCTCTCTCTCTAATACACACACACACACACACACACACACACACACACACACACACATTGATTACCAGTGAGTAGAACACATAATATTGTGTGTTTCTCAATTATTCTACACAACAGACTTCATAATATTATCAGTCTGACCTCAAAATTCTGTTGTCTGGTGCAGGAGATATGGACTAAAATTTAAGTTTTCAAAACTGTGCATTAGACATAAGAGAGCTGAGGAATGACATTCAACGAATTTTGTTTCTTCTTTCTCTAAAGAAGAAATAATGTTTTTTATTGAAAAGCATTTTGGGGATCAGGGATGCAGGGAATTGAACCTAGGCCTTGTTCATGCTAATCAACATAAGGTCTACCACTAAGCTAAATCCCAGCTCAATCTCTTGAAAATAGCCCTAGTTTTAACATTAATTAAACAGTATATGGAAATTGAATTGAAATAGAATCTTCAAATTAAACAGTATCTTTAATAATTTATTTTTGAAAAATAATCTTTAACATATTTTTGTGTGTATGATGGTGGCTATACTCAGGGACTTGTGTACCCACATGCTCTACTACTGAGCTAAACTTCAAGCCCACAAGATAATACATTCTAACACTAGTCAGAAAGGTGGAAATGAACTTTCAACATCTTATCTTTTTCCTTGGCCACATCAATCCAATTACACTTAAAGAGACTGCAGGCATCACTATCCAATATACAAAGATGCATTATTCTATTAAATTATATCACATATTACCTTTAAACTTTACAATCCATTTAACAGATCTTAATCTAGAGGTAAGATGGTTTCAGGTTTTCTTTGGGTCCTTAAGAATTGCAACACACTTTGCTCAAAAGGAGGTATTTTTGAATAGTACTTTTTAAAACTCAATATATTTTCACAGCTTTACCTTGCTTCTAATAATAAAAAACGACACAGGTTTCAAGGAGAATATTTGGAATCATTTTACATAAAAAGAAACAAAAAATAGTTAAGGCTAAGCCCATTAACCACTGTTAAGGTACTACTCACTTCCTTTGTTATTATTATCACTGATGTTAACAAAGAAACATTTCATCTAATTGTATTTTGAAAAACATACAAATTTAACAAATTCATCTATACTTTTTATTGGTGTATGATTTATTTTGGTATAGATTTTGATTTATTATCTTAAACATGAAATAGTTGAAAGAAAGAGTTTCCTGTTTAATTTATGTAGCCTACTATTTCTTACCCTTGGAATTTTTGAACCCATTTCATTTATCATGGCTTTCACTTCCACCCCTTAATCCAATAACCTCCATGTTTCCAAACGTAAAAGACTTTCTAGTCCTGAGATTTCGGGGTCACCTGACAGCATGGAACATATTCCCTTTTCCTTCTGACACACTTTCCTCCTCACTCACTGGCTGTTCATTCTCCACCCAACTGCACAATGTTGGAGTCCCCTAGACCTCAGTCTTGCAATGGCCTCTCTACACTTGCTGCATTCACCTGCAAAATGATCTCACTGGTTTCCATGGACTTAACACCATCTTCCTGATAATGGCTTCCAAATGCTCATATCCATCTCAAGACCTTGCACAACTAGTTCCGAATGGTATATTCAACCCTCTGCTTGATAACTCTACTGGGATCTCTCACATAACTTTCAAAGTTAAAATGCTCAATGTGGAGCCTTCTATTTGCTCCCCTAAACCAGTTTACTTTAGCACTCAAACCAGTTTACTTTGTTTTCTCCTTAACAAATGGCCCCATTATCCAATAGTTACTCAAACCAAACTAAACCCTCCCCCCTTTATTTCTTTGTTTTACTACCATCAGAAAAGTCTACCAGTTATAACTATAAAATATATCACAAGTTCCATACTCTCCCCTCTATTCCCCAAATCCTGATCTTACTCTGGGCCACTACAGTCACTTCCCTGGATTAATGTTCAATAATTTCCTAACAGGGTAGTCCCCACATCCTTTCTTGCTCCATCCAACCCAATCTCTAGCTAGATAGGAGGGAAAGTAATGCTTTAAAACATAAATCAGATTATACTATAACTTTTTAAAGTATTTCCACATGTTCTAACTGTAGCTAGACTATAATCCAAATTCCTCAGTAGGCCCTGTAAGGTCCTGACTAACTATCCCTGCCTGTTTATCTAACTATCCCTACCTGTTTATTGCTTAAGCCAATCTGAGCTTTGTTTCTATTATCTACAATTGAAAACAACCTTATTGACAGAAAGTTTTAAAGTCAGTCCTGATGCAGACAGAACATTTCCACACACCATCCTAAGGTCATGTGAAAGATGGATTTGAAGGGGGCAAGCAGAGTCAAGACCACCAATCAGAAAGCTGCTGCTATTAACTACGAGGATAAGGGCCAAACCAGATCAACAGTACAGGAGCTACAGAGAAAAGAATTGGTTGGAGGAGCATTGAAGGAGTCTATTATCAGGACTTGGAATTAAGTAGAGACAGAGGGAGAAGAGGCCTCAATGATGGCTTCCATGTTTCTGGTTTGGGAATCCAAGTGCTACTGATGCAAGCAGCCAAGGCCAAGGAAAGACAAGGGTGAATGGGGAGGCCAGTAACTATGTGAAGAAGATGAACTACTCTTAGTGTAGTCAGGTGCTATAGGGGCCAGCACAGAATCTGCAGGTAGACGACAGGTGCACAGTCCAGAGCCCCACAGTCCAATAGAGGGAAAACCTTTCATAGTATAACAGCTTCTCAAATTGTCTGAAAAACTTAAGAAAAGACTGTATTTCTGGTCAAAACAAGATGGGGTCAAATTGCATATGGTAACATTAGTTATTTTTTTTTTATAAAATATATATGGGGAACATTGGATAAATATTTCATGGGGATTTTCTTTTCTTTTCTCTTCCTACCCTTCTTCCTTCCTCCCTCCCTCCCTTCCTTTTTTTAAATTTTTTTTTTTCTTTTTTTTAGCACCAAGAATTGAACCAGGGAGCACTTAACTATGGAGCCACATTCCTCCCCAACCCTTTTTATTTTACAGACAGGGTCTCCCTGAGGTGTTTAAGGGCTGGCTAAATTTCAGAGGCTAGCTTTGAACTTGGGATTCTCCTGCGTCACCTCCCAAGCAGCTGGGATTAAAGGCATGCACCACCATGCCAGGCTAGGGTTTCCATTTTTCTTAATCTCACTGAATCAAAATAAAGACTTAGAGATATTCTTCAAAACATTAATATTCTTCCCAGAGAACTGAGTAATGGAAGAAAAAAACCTCAACTCAGTTTAGCCCTGCTACACAGAGATGAATCCCACTGTATATAGTGGGCCCATAGTTCCCATGCAGGGGTCTCTCCCACAGCTAAGTAGACAGGGAGGGAAAACACGGTTTTCCCCATTCCCTCCACAACTATCCCCCCATTTCTATTGATTGTGTGATCATCCAGTCTGCAAAACCAAGCTCTACAAAGCTCTAAATCAGGAGAGCTCAGTGATAGAGCACATGAGGCCCTGGGTTCCATTCTCAACACGACCAAAAAAAAAACAACAGTGACATTTAATCTGAAAACTAGCTGCTCAAAAATGAATTCTGACAGTAATTTTATGAGCAATATTCTGTTTTACGCTCCCTGTGGCAGCCTGCTGCTATGAAAGCTTGTGCGCCCCCACAGTCAGCTTCAGGATCCAGGCATGGAACACTGACTCAGACACTTCCACCCCTGGAACAAGGGACCAGCTTGATCTCGCCTGACCTCACTTCAGTTCAGCTTGCTGTTTATAAAATAAATACAGAGGTCTTTGCTCTGTCTCCTCCTCACTGCCTATAGTGAGAAGCAACTGAAATAATATGTGTGGAAGTATTTTGTGAACTGTTAAGAACTAACCACCATTTGACCCAGCTATCCCTCTCCTCGGTTTATATACCCAAAGGACTTAAAAACAGCATACTACAGGGACACAGCCACATCAATGGTTATAGCAGCACAATTCACCATAGCTGAACTGTGGAACCAACCTAGATGCCCTTCAATAGATGAATAGATTTTTTAAAAATGTGGCATATATACATAATGGAATATTACTCAGCAATAAAAGAGAATAAAATCGTGGCATTTGCAGGTAAATGGATAGAGTTAGAGAAAATAATGCTAAGTTAGCCAATCCCAAAAAAACAAATGCCGAATGTTTTCTCTGATATAAGGAGGCTGATTCATAGTGGAATAGGGAGAGGGAGCATGGAAGGAATAGAGGAACTCTAGATAGGGCAGAGGGGCTGGAGGGGAAAGGAGGGGGCATGAGGTTATTAATGATGGTGGAACATGATGATCATTATTATCCAAAGTACAGGTATGAAGACACGAATTGGTTTAAATATACTATGTATACCACCAAAGATATGAAAAATTGTGCTCTATATGTGTAATAAGAAGTGTGATGCATTCCACTGTCATATAAATTTTTAAAAAACTATGTAAATCTAAGTTGTATTGAAGTATCAGGGTTTAATATAGTGTGTGCAACTATTTTTAATTTTCAGAAAGCATTTTTTAAAATTTTCTCCCAAAAAGGTTCCCTCCCTTCAGATGAATTATCACATAAAAGTCTCAACTTTTAACCCCTCTCTGCCCAGGGCTAACCCTTTCTCACCAGGTCACCTTCTCTTAAAGGCCATACCTACTTCTATTCAGGTAGTCCTCTGCAACCTCCTAGGCTATTCCCATGGTAATTTGATTTTTAACATCATCATTTCACTTCCCACAATCTTTATTTATCACCTGTATGGACACTAGAATGCCAGCTCCCATGAGAAGAGGGATTCTGTCTCATTCACTCCCACATTTCCAGCTCCTGAGCATTATATAGAAGCAAATAGAAATGCCCAATAAATACCTGCTAAATAAATGAACATATATTTAATATAGAAAGCAAAATAAAATTAACTTACCTTCTGGAATTATGTTTGACTCTTCTACAGCATTATCTAAATAAAAGAGGAAAACATACTTTACACCAACTCACCTTCATTCAGATCCCTAAAGTAACTAATATCCCCTTGGATATCTAAGCTTTGCTTTCCTTTTTAGACTGCCTCTTCTTATGGAGAGACTTGTGAGTATTTATATTAGAATATCAATTTTAATTTCTAAATTATATTCAAAGAGTACATTAAGTAGGCTAACATTATCACTAACATAAAAATTTGCACCATCAAAATGGAATAAATAAGTATCCATAGGTTCCACATGCATGCATCTCACTGACAAAGGATCAAAATACAAAAAAACAGAACAAGCAACTAAGAAAAAACAAACAAGTAAACAAAACAACCCCCCTCAAAAAGAAATTACGTGTGCACTGAATATGTATAGAGATTTTTCTTTTCATTATGCTTTAAACAATACAATATAATAACTGCTGACATAACACTTACATTGTTTTAAGATTGTAAATAACAGTGATGTAAAGTACACAGAGAGATGTGCACAGGCCACAAGGAATACTATGACATTTTCTACAAGGGACTTATGCATCCTTGGATTTTTTTTTAATCCGTGGTTCATTCTGGAATCAATTCCACCACAGACATGTAGCAATTATTTTCTTAGTGCCTGGAAAATGTTTTGTATTATTGTACTTATTCTTTGTTTCACAGGTTACAAAAGTTTAACAAATGGAAGGGGGTTTGATTGGTAAGTAACATCTGTTTACAGACAAAAACTTACCTGAAATTTCTATTGCATCATTTTCTGAAGGCTCGTATTCTATAAAATAAAAAGAAAAAATAATCCTTTAGTATTGCATCATTTTCATCATAACAAAAATGGACAATGTGCTCCCAGGAATCCACCTTTGTCTTTGAACACAGATTACAGAGCAGGGTGGGAAGGAGTTTGATCAACTGAAGTGAAACAGGTCTGGATTAAATTCCAGGTCAGACACTGTTTAGCCATGGGACACAGCAATCCCATATGGTCCCTTCTTATACAGGGGGGAAAAGACAAGCTCCTCCCTCAATCACTTGTCACCAGAACTCAATTATCCACTTATTCCCAAGTGGCACTGAATTTTCTTTTGAAAACTGTCTTCCTGTCTATGATGAAGGTTTAAAAGAGCTAAAGCTCTTCCCTGCACATCACCTATAGGAACATTTCCCCACTTTGTTTAATTAATAATTAAAAAATATTCAGTAATTCCCAGACATTTAACTTGGAGGCAAACACCCTCTGCTGGCCTTTTAGAAGGCACTGACTGGCAGGCAGGTCCTTCATCCACCCACCCTGTAACAAGTGCCTGCTACCCATTCCTTCTCTTAAGGGTTGTCACTGGGCTTAGAACTTTTTTGCAAAGCAGGCTATTCCTGCACAGCCCTCTGCCCTATGCTGTGCCTGGAAGCTGGCTGCTTTCTCAATCAACCTGATCTTCCAAAAGGTCTCCAATTTTCTGCTACAGGAGGAACAAACAATCTTATTTCCCCAGAATGGTCACAGATTTATTCTTTTGTATTTATTTAATGAAGAACCATTTTTGAGAATGTATTATTTTTTGGACATATTGTCAGTATTCCGGTACAATCATTTTGTCCTTTTGGGGCATTTGGAAGATGAAAGGGACGAGGAAATGTGTGCTTATTTTCACCCTGAGCAGAGATAGCATTTAAATATGCTCAAACTTCTACAGATCTTAAAAATCAACCTTTTCTTGGGCCTGCTTCCCTTTACTCTCTTTTGTCCATTTCATAATCTAATTTCTTTAAAGATCCATTTACTTTTGAAGTCTCCTCTCCTCATTTGCCCTCCTTAGCCCATTCCCACCTATCTTTTGGTCCTGACCACAATCCTGAAAAGGCTCCTGCTGAGATGGCCAGTGAGCACCTCATTAAATCTGCTGGACACCTTCCAGTTTTGCCCATGAGATCACTTAAGTGATACTTTGCACCTAGACTTCAGTGAGATTAGACTCTATTTAATGTCTTATTTCTTTCTCAGTCTTCTTTATCACTCCATCCCTTTTCTGTAGATATTAAATGTGGCTTTCTTCAAAGTCCAGCCATAGAACCACCTCTGATCCCCCTCTATCCTCCTTCATGAAGGGCACAGAGTTTGGTTCCAATTATGACGATGCTGATGATTCCCAGATGTGTAATTGGCAAATCACCACCAGCTCATAAGGAATGGACTCAGGACCTAGAGCCCTGGTTCCTGCCTTCCAGCTGGTCTTATCTTAATTAAAAAAAAAAAAAAAAAAAGGACCACCTGTCATCAAGCCAGAAGAGGGAATGAGGCTACACCTGCAATATCAAGATCTGTTCATTTTACCTTAGAAACATTTTTTTGTCTTCCCCTCCACCTTCACATGCTGGTTTATACTACTATCATCCCTGTCCAATCTGTCTAATGACAAGTCGCCCATGAGGCCACTATCATACTAGACCATGGGCACATTTTCAGTGCTGTTACACATGGCTCTCAGAGGGACACAACAACATTGAACACCCCCCTTCAAGAAATTCATTCTTTGGCTCCTTGATTGGCAGGTGGAACTCAGATATGAGTTAAATTCAAATCATTGCAGCTATTACTTTCCTCAAAAGCTTATTTCTCTCATTTGGGAAGCAGGGAAAATACGAGGCACTTCATGGAATTCAGAAAAATAATGCATAAAATGCTCAAAGACAGGAGCTGCTATAGTCGACCAGGATCTGAATTAGATACTACTTATGCTGCAAATTTGCTAGAATTCCTTTCTCCATGTTGCCATTGCATTGAGCATGGAATCCAATTCCTCTTAATCTTCCCCAACGTGGGAAATCAGTAACCTCTGAGAATGGGATTAATTTATAGAAACAAATACAGTAAACTCTAACTAAAGCAGTTATCCATGCATATATTAGTCAAAAGGTATGACTATAAAGTAATGAGATACATTTTTTAAAGTAATTTGTAACTGCCCCAAAACAACTTGTAAAAAGTTTAAGAAATTACTTAGGCGATGGCAGAACTATTGGAACAGTTAAATAATCTCACTAAGTGAATTTTTGAGAAAAACTATTCATTTCTATGTCTTGATGTTTACTAACACAAACCTGCATATTTTACAGTCAAACTAGGGGGATAAAACAAGTAGGTGCCTTAAGGTTTAAGAAGCATTTTCAAACCTTGTTTATCATAGTCTTGGTATGTTACGTCATCTGCAAAAGAAAGAGAATTAAAAAAAAATATTACATGAGTCCTTAAAACTGCTTCACTAAAAAAAGAAATTAATTTTAAACACAAATTTCTATTCCTTTAAACATTGATGTTTGAATAGTCAGTAATAAATGCCTGTGTTCAGATGCAATTAAAGCAAAGAGCAAGTATTCCCGTAAAAATTCCTCAGCACAAGATAAATAAAATTAGCCATTAGAATTTAACATCCTGTTTGTTATAGACCCATTCATTGTTGGTAGATGAAGTGAAACACAAACATCTTTGTTTTTGTTTGCTTGTTGTTTGGTTTTTTGTGATGCTGGGGATCAAACTCAGAGCCTTACACATGCTAGGCACTGGACTACATCCCCAGACTCTGACATTATTTTAATATACTGATTTCACTACAAGACAAAAAGTCATGTTAAAAATTGCTTCTTGACTTTTTGAAAGAAAAATTACCATGTAAACAGACAAAGTACTGCAACTAAAATTAACATTCAAAATTGAATGAAACTGTTCATCCAATACCTGCTTCCTGGTGCAATCTTTCATCTTCTACAACTGGTTCACTGGAATCTAAAAGAAAAAAATATTTTCCTCTGCCAAACGAGAAAACACCAAACACTTGCATTACCTGACACCATTCTAAAAGATTCAAATCAATTCTGATCTACACAACCTTGTAAAATAGATGCTATTATTATAATGTAATAAAATTTAAGTTGAACAAAGTTCCAGAATTTACTGTTTAAGCTGCAAAAAATGGGAACTAGGATCTGCAACCAGTCTGGATCTACTACACCATAATTCAATTCCATTCCTTCTAATAGACCAGACTCCTAAAGAAGGTTTAAAAACATATTTCCTTTATCTTTATTTCCCCAGGTAAATACTGAACTTTATTTAGAAGTTTCTGTAAATATTTGGAGAATCAAAAATGATTGAAAGTTATTATGAAGAAATCTCTGTTGAATCAGAGTGAATCATGCACACTGTGTTAAATGACGTTGGCCAGTGCCTCAAACAGAAGCACTTATCAAAGATTTTCATATTACAAACCTGGGTTTTCCTGGTCATATATCATCTCTTCTATATCCTGATGATGATCCTGTAAAACTATAAATTGGGAAATAATTAGGAAATTAAAACATCATGGATTTTTCATGATACTCCAAACTAGAAAAGTATAATTCCTGGTAATAATAGAAATACAAAACTAAATCAGAACAATGATCAGCCATGTTCACTCTTGGAACCCTCAGTGCTTAAGGTCACATGCAAAACTGAACAAGACAGTTTCCAGCATCAATGAGTTTATAATCTAACTACAAAAGAGCAGAGCTAGACTCTCATTTAGCATATGCAGACTTAACAACAGTAAATAAAAGCAAACAGAGGCAGACAGCCCAAGAGAGTAGTACCAGTGAGTCTTCCTCCTGCCCATGTAGAAGAATCTGTGAGCAAGTGCACACGCCACCCAGCCCTCACCTGGGCTTCAAGCTCAGGTATTCTATGTGGGTTTCTTCTACCTTGGAACACAGGTTTAGTGTATATAAATAACATAGTGTATATAGACCACAAATGCTAGTCAAAAATACCACATGGTACTCAAGCTTACAAAGAGTGATCTGTTTATCATGGGAAATAAACTTCAAAATAGAAACTAAACTCACAAAGGTGTATCTATACTACAAAGCAAAATAATAACAATAGTATGAACCCTATCATGTGATATATTAAATACTTTCAAAATCATTAATAAATAATAAATAATATTTTAAATATATCATGATGTTCCATTAAAGACTTATTCTAATTAGGAAAGAATAATATTAAGTTAAAACCTACCTGGCTCTTCCACAAGGTAACTATCCTCAACCACTGAAAAAAACATTAAATTGAAAAAAATTGATATTACTACTTTTATAAAATGGTATGTATCATAGTGTTGATGTATATTCTGAATTTAGACTTATTACTGATTTAAAGAAAATAACATAAAATATAGAAATACCAATTAAGTATCTGTGTAACACTTTATTCCCTGAACTGCACTCTCAAGTGTCTCATGTGTTCTATTTGATCCACTCAACATCTCCACAAGGTTGACAAACACTGTAATCAGGTGATTAATAAATACAAGGTGAAAGACTGACAAAGGCTGAACGCAGAAAATGTGCTAATTTCTCTCCATTTCACATTCCACTGTGGTGTTCCATCTCCTACCCCTGTCCTACTATTTTTTAGAGCAAAAATACACAATCTGCAAATGGAGAATAAAGGGAACTTTATGTGTCCAGGAAGCTAATCAGAAAATCTGATCCTCAACGAGCTTGTGACCATTGCTCATTGCTCATTGTATAAAACAGATACACAAAATGTAATTTTTTTTTTAATTTCTAAAGACTGTAGTAAAGTCGAAACTTTAAAGTTCAAATTGAATCTCCATGTCAACTAAAGATTATATCAGTAAATAAGGTCTCTAGAACTTATAGACTTCTTAGAAGTATTTCTTTCTACCTCTCTCTATACCTCCTAAACTTAGAGACACCAAATTCCTCATGTTCCTGGTTATTTGAGCATCTTAACTGAAATGTGTTGCATAAGCAGCACCTACATACAAAATTCTAAACAGCCCTCAATGTTGCAGAGCCATGGAGGCCAAAGATGGGAGGGAAGGAGTGATCCACGGAAACCAGAGTTAATTTTTATCAGCATCCCTACTCAAAAATTAGAAACACTTTCCCATAGACATCATGACATAGTAATCACTAAAGGTCAAAGGTGCTAAAGCTCTTCTATTATCAGCTATATTCAATATATAGTACATCCAAAATCACATACATGTTCAAAAATATTTGTGTTTGAATCTTTCACACACACACACACAAAAAAAATTATGCACAATAATTCTTTGAGTTTGTTTGGACACTTACATCACTATTTCTTTGCCACTGTATCTCCTCCTCTAAACAAGAAGCATGGGTATAGTTTTGCATTCTGAGAGCAAAGCTGAACATTGTAACAGAGGCTGAGGTTCCATAAAGCCTAAAATATTTACTACCTGGCTTTTTGCAGAAAAGGCCTACAGACATCCCGTAAAGAAACTAAGAAGAGGTCCTATTCACAGTCATTAGGGTTAGTGTTAGATCAAAAGCCTGTGATGGGTGATCAAGTCAAGTACTTCAACAGTTGTTTGCCAAGTAACAAATAGCACTCTTGGCAGGAGAATACCATAATAGTAGTTTGCTGAGGTATCTCACCTACTTTTATAAGAAATTTATGTATTCTGAGTTTTCTTTAAAAGGGCTTTGAATCAAAACCTGGATATCTATTTATTTTAGGGAAAAATTTACTTTACTTGAGGTTTTAAACTTGATTTCAAAAAATACAGAAAAACATTTAATATTGGCTTTAAAGGGGTTCAAGAAAAGATTCAATAATTGCAATTGTAATTTATCTACTATATTTTATTCTGAAACCAAATAAATGTGTTCTACCTTCATGAAGTGTTTCAGGTTCCAGCATCTCAAATGTATCATCTGCATCATCTGTAAAGAAATTCTCATACTCCAGAGGCAGTTCTTCTGCTGGTCCATCCTGGTCTTGTTGCAGGTCTTCTCCTTCAACAAGGGTAATGAACAAAACAATATAGGTATATGCTAGCCCATAGGCAGCAGCTGGCTTAGGCAAAGAGGCCTTCTGAAGGGCTGCTATGTAATCCTTTCTCTCAGCCATCATTGGCACTGTTCATTCTGAAGGTGTTTCCTCCCTCACTCTGGCCAGGTGCTAGTCTCATTAGAAAGTAAACTCCCAAACAATGAGCACCTCTTAAGTTTTGTTCACTATGTTTGCCCAGCATCTGGGACCATACTTAGTCATAGAAGTATTCAATACTTATTTGATGAATAAATAAATAAACTCATAATTATTAATGTGCCTCTTCAATTATCACCAAATTAGAGAAAAGATCACACCAATAACTTGTATTGAGAATTGACATAAAATTGCATGTAAAAATTTTAAATGATTTATCTAATGTTCTGATGCAAAGAAAAATTAGCAACCTATCTTATTCACAAGCTCCTTTGCAAGTAGGAAGGCCACTTCACCTTATTTATGCTATATAAACACAAATATCTGTATTATACTGAATCTAAACTGTTCTATGCTTAGCCTTTAGATATTCAAAGATGCCTATTTTCTCTACTTTGATTAACTTCTGATATATTGAGCAGTTTTGTTTTCATGTGGATGTTGACTATATTATTCCACTGAAATACAGTTTGTTATCATGCCTAAAAATTATCCTCATATTAATGTGACAAGGCTCCCAGCAGACTACCTCCTGTAAATAATACTCTAAGAATTTGAGGGAGCTGGGCTAGACTATATGAAGTACAGTGATTAAGAGTGCAAAGTCTAGAGGGGCTGGCTCTGGATTTAGGTTTTTCCATACTAACTCATGACTGTGCACAAATTCCTTACCAACTCCATGTCTACAATTTCCCTTCCATAAAATAGAAATAATAAATATTCTTAGGATTATTGTGAGGTGAAAATACATAGAAACGTGGTTGGCTCATAATAAGTACTTAGGTGTTATTATTATTATTATTATAGTAGCAACAATATTACCATGAAAATTGTGGAAAGTCCTTCTGAGTTACTGTGCCTTTACAGTAGCATAGTAATTCTCTTAGATGTTACCAAATTATGTAGACCCACTTCTGGAGCTATGATTTTTTAATAGTCTCTTCATCTACAGTTTTATTTTCTGTGGTTTCAGTGACCCACAATCAAGACAGCATATAAATGTTAAATGGAAATTTCTGGAAATAATTTGTAAGTTTTAAATTATAGGTTATTCTGAGAAGCATGATGAAATCTTGAGCCATCTCTCTCCATCCCATCTGGAACATGAATCACCCTGTTGTTCACCATATTATATATGTTATCTGCTCATTTCTCACTTGACAGCTATCTTGGTTATCAGAGGGGCTGCCAGGGTGTCACAGTGCTTGTGCTTAAGCGGCCCTATTTTACTTAGTAATGTCCTCCAAAATGCTGCAATTCTGATATTCAAAGAGAAGCCATAAGGTGCTGCTTCCTTAGGCAAAAAGGTGAAAGTTTTTGATATTGAAAAAAATCAATATTCTGAGGTGGCTGAGATCTAGAATGAGAACAAATTTCCATTAAATTGTGAAAGATGATATCTGCTAGTTTTGCTGCCACATCTCAAAGTGAAATGGTTACAGCCACAGTGCATGATAAAGTATATAAGAAAAAACATAATATTTTATATATATATTGGTTATACATAACATGTATGTACAATAATTTTGTGTGTGTGTGTGGAGAGAGAGCACACAAAAGCGTGTGTGTTCCATGATATCTGTAGTTTCAGTTTTCCAGTTGGTTCTTTGAATAATCCTGTGAAGAGGGGGTTTCTGTCTTATCACAGCCAGCTATATTCCTCTCCCCTTCCATTTTGCATTTTTTTCTACTCAGTAAACAAAGCACCAAATCTAATTCCTGTTGAGACTTTCACTACTCTTTATCTTTATATCATATTCCTCTTTCCCTATTCTCTCCTAGTTCAATCCAGGAACATCTTATATGAGTTTTACATTCGCCAGTTTAGCAGCCAGACATCACTGACCGATGAACATTTCTGTAGGGAAACCACCCAAGCACTGCTCACTGTCTGTGAATCTCCACTGTTTGGCCAGTGACAGCCTTGTGTGATGAGATCATCCTGAAGTTTCCTAGACTCTAGGCATTACCCAGCCCTCTGCAGCTGGTACCCCATCCCTGTGAGGCAGTTACTATTGTCCATTTTAAAACATGAGGAAATTGAGGACTTTGCTAAAGCCACACAGCTAATAAATGGCAGATGCAAGATTTCAATCCAGTAATGAAATGTGCATGATAGGGGAAGGCGGCCATGCAAGGTCAGAGGAGATGTGAAGATGAGGTGGGGGTAGACAGCACATCCCCACAGACATGTGACAAGTTCAAAAGCTCTGAGGCAGGGACAAACTTGGTAATTGCAAGGGAAAGAGAAGGCCAGTTGGGCTAGGAAAAGGAAGAAGGAGGAGAAAGAGACTGGGGTCAGACAAGGCACGACTGCCTGAGCACATCGAACACCAAACTTGGGTTTTAGAGGCTCAAGACTGGAAACAAGTGTAAGTGCATGGCACTTCAACAGCCATGGCAAAAGGCAGCTGTCACGGCTGAGGCACTGGAGAGGCAGGTATGTGCCAGGGGCAATGTGTCAGGCTTAGGTAAGGGGAGAGTAAAGAGAGAGCAAGAAAAACATCTGGGGTTTGAACTTCTGCAACTACATGGGTGGGATGGACATTAACAAAAATGTAAAAGGCTGGAACAGCACTTTGGGGTGGGATAGTGGGGCTGGAGACCTATAAGATGCAGAGGAGAGATTGAGACTGAGCCATACACAAGGTCCTGTTGGAGGGTCCAGCAGGCCCTGGGTAAGCCTGGAGCTTAGATAAGTCATCAGAGTTGTTGCTGTACATTCAGGAGTCACCAGCATATAAATGACATTTAAGGCCAGGGATCATCAATGTGATTGTCTAAGGGGATAAAAATTCTACAAAGCAAGAATAGGTCCAAGAAAGCTGTATCAGGGAACATGTGCTAGACTAGATGATTTCCTCTTCTGCTAAGCTGCCCCCTCCCACCCGCCTGCTGTTTCTTTCCACTTCCCTTCTTTCCAACCTTTGCCAGAATTGAATCTGATGAGCCACCTGGACTCATTGGGGTCACCAGCACAACCTCCTCCATCTGGGCTCTCTGCTGCCTGCTCCCCCCAACCCCCCCACCCCCACCCGCCACATTTCAGGCTGTGGGCAGAATACACCACACTCCTAAACACCTTTAATTGCTGTTAAGAATTAAGAACAGATATCTGTCTCTCATCCCTATTCCTCTTCATCCCACATGCCACCATTGTGAACTACCTTCAGACTCTTGGTTGGGCTTCCACACATGCTGTGCCCTCTTCTTACGACCAGACAGGCGAAGTTCTACACCATCCTCGTGCTTCTAGATGGCACGATCATTTCCTCTATGAAGTCTCTTCTGAGGCCCAAGTCTAGGTAAGCCCCAAAGAATATCCTGTGTCTCACCACTATTGTATTGTACTACCTGCACTGTATAAAAATCACTGGTCTATTTTGACTGCATCTACCTCCTTATGTTTATGGATTATTAAAATAAATAAATAAAAGCTGTAGGAAGGAGAAGCCTACTCTTGCTTATATGGGCAGATACATATTCAGGTGAAATAGCCTTCCTACTTGCAAAGGAGCTGGTGTACAAGGACACAGGATCCTACATGCCAAGCAGTCATCAGCAAAATCTAGCTGAAGGCTAGAGAATTATTTGTATGTCTTTATGACACCCCAATTTTATTTTTCTTCTTTAGGGCTACCCTTGTATCACATCAAACCATCAGGGTATCAGGGTCCCGCTGTGTTCTGTACCTTCAAAATGCCTTCATGAGCTTTGTTCTGTTTTCATCAAGGAATGCTTCAAGAAACGGCCTTATAAAACCCTAAAACACTGGTTTTGAGACTCTTGTTTAATTCTCCCCATATATGAGATATTTTTTAAATCCAAGAGTTGGGAGCTTATTTTATATTCTTTAAGTAGACAGCATGCTTTGTCTTCTCTGGTAATATGACCTATGTAATTAGAAGTCTGTCCTTTTTTACTTTGGTGATGAACAAAGCTTGCTCATCACAAAACTTGCTTTCTGGTGTTCTGCTTCCTCCACTCTTCTTCCAATCTATTTTTGAAGGACCATGATCTCAGCTTGCTTATCCTCACTTATCAACACACATTCTTTATCAGATACCTGCAACAAACTCCCTCATAGTAAAGTATGGTAAAACATGTCTAGTCCTATTTAAAAATAATACCTATTCTCTAGTAACTTGGAATAAAAGATTTAAAAAAACCTAAGGTACAAATAACTTTTAAATCTCAATATGTAAATAAGCTTATGTAAACATCATTTTCATAACTCATGACAAAACAATAGACATTAATCCATACCATGTTCTGTATGTACCGTTTCGTGGAGAAGGGACTGAATTTGTTCTCTTACTTCATCTTCAATATTCTGGGGTTCTAAAATAATTACAAGACATCACTAAGTGGACAATATTCAAACATCAATAGGGAACTCAGCACCCAAATATGGCATTTGTGCATTATGTATTAAAATGGCTACATCTGGCTCAGCAACTGTGAATTTTTTCCCATATCCATTTACTACTTTTTTTCCCCTATGTTGGGAAACATGGTAGATAATTAAAACTGGTTTTATTTTGTTAATGGATATAAGTGTTACAAGCTTTAACAGGGCTTTTAAAGACAGAAAACTAATTTAGGTAGGGTTTTTATTTTGAAAAAAGCCTCACAAATCAAAATGAGTTGTTTGTAATTAGTGAAGGCCAGGCCAATGACAGAATAAAGTGAGAAGGGCAGGGAATTCATTAAGGAAGGTCCTGGAAAATAAGGAAAAACATGTGGAAGACAAAAATCAATACAGATCAGTGCACTGTGTTCTCTGACAGGAGAAAGGGAAGCCTTGCTGAATGAGAACCCAGAGAAGAGGGCTGATGACCCCCAGAATTCTGGAAGTGAGAGTAGATAGCCTGACATTATAACTGATGGTCCTTCCAGCTTTGGACACAACATGACACATAGATCTCCACAGATTCAAATAAACGTGAACATGCATAGTGGCATTCTGACAACATTGTGGTGCTTATTGTATTATCAGGTTTACTGCAACACCACACAACGTATAAGAAACTATGATTACATCGACATGTCGTCCAATTTTCAGTGAAACAATCTTTGTTCAGAGAATAAAAGTAACACTAGGCTTGGTCTTAATATCATAAATGTTGTCTTATGAAATAATGCCGATGACATTAGTTAATGTCAAAAGGCTAATCCTCAGTGACAAAATTGGGGTAAATTAATCTAGAATTTCAAGCAGGGAACAAGTTTTGATACAGTATCTGCTAATTGCTCAATGAAAGCACTTCTAAAGCATTGCAGTGTCTTACATTTTTTGAGATATTTATATCTCACAAACCATCTTTATGTACATTCTGGAACAATTTAGAAAAGTCTCCAGTCTTCATTCTTCCATCATCATCTCCCACAGCTTCCTAACTAGGTTCCCAGTTTCACAACTGCTGAGGACAGCAGCCAAAGTACACTCAGTATGAATTACCAGAAGTGTAGCCTGGGCACTCTACATCTCTGCATAATCCTTTAATGGCTTGTGCTGATCCACCAAGTGAAAATCTAAGCCATGGAACAGGATATGAGAGCTCCACAACTGGGCCATCACACACTTTTCCAGAATTGCTGGCTACCAGCAATAGCTTTGAACTTGGTAAGTATACCATACTCTTTCATTTTTCCATAATTTTGTAAATGTGCTTGTTCTCCAATGGAGACAGTTAGTACAGGCAGAGGCCAGACTACAATGGGTTAAAGAATGAATGAAAAAAATAAAATGAAAAAGCAATTGTAGAGTTTTCTTTCAAAATCTAGCTCTTATGGTGAAGAGATTAGATGGCAGAGGCGGGGTCAAGAAGGGCTTAAGGGCTTTATTTCATCAAATTTTTATGAGTTATATAACTAGGCTTATCAAATAGGTGGATGGAGTCAGATAAAAAAGAAAAATCAAGGACAGAGTAACAGGAAGGTTGAGAAGGCCACATTTAAAACAAATATAAAGTTGAGAAGGATATGGGCTAATAATAAACCAATGGATTATGGAATTTAATTACAATTCATGGTGAAAGAAACAAAAATTAAAAAGGAAGAGTGGAAAGAAAAATGGCATAACATTTGAGGTAGGTACTAGCCTTAAAAACCAAGGTTTTTAAATTATAAATTTATTTACTACAAAGTAAAATTTGAGATGCTAAATCCAAATACACGTCTAATTATAAGACTTAATAGGAGGGATACAGTGAATTCTTATAGCATTATGGGCTGAAGAAAGAATAAAATTTAGAGCAACATACATATTAATCTTAAAAGTAAAGAAGGAAAATCAAATAGTATTCATCAGTACTGTTTGAATTTAAAAATCTAAGATGCCAGTAAATACAGTGTCATTCCTAACACTTCCAATAGATGGCAGAGTGAAACCAAATTTCTTTGCATTCTGCATAAATGGAAAAAAGTGCAGAAGCGAAACAGTACTTCATAAAAATGTCATAAACAAGAAATGATAGTAATGGATTAAAAGTGCATTTACTAATTTATTAAAATATTTCAAGAGTTCTCAACCTATGGATCATTGTCTCTTCAGTGACTACAGAAATAACTTGAACTGATCCATGAATCTGTGTAAATACAAAACAGATTCCACAGATTATCATAAGGAAGTCTGGGAATTCCTTTGATGCAGACAGGAGATCCTCACAGAAGAAAGACTTTCTAAATTACTTATTACTTAATTAAATTATGTGGCAAATGATAACATTTGTATATAATACATGTCTATTTTTACTTTCAGTGTAATATGGTATAATAATTCTAGAATTGGAATCAAGGAAAAATAAGTTGCTTCCTAACTATAATCTCAGGCAATAAATAACTGTGCCATAAATTCTTTGTCTCAAAAATTAAAATTCTCCTGTTCAAATATTTTAGTATCAAAAAAAGTTTATTATAAGGTTTCAGAAAGAAGAAAAATAGTTCACTATTCTATAAACATGTGAAACCAACTGTGGACAAATAAGTTTCTGTGAACTGCAAGCAAAGATGCCTGACAGGCTAGGTACATCCTTCTGAGACCTCCAGGACCACTTACCTGTTCCCTCAGGAGCCTGCTCCTCCGGCTCAGCATGTGGCTCAGCCTCCTCTGGTGGGAAAATCGGCTCGGAAGCAGATCTTTCTTTAAGTCCTGCATTTTTTATTCACAAAATTAACTTAAATTTCTTGATCTTTGTGTCATGTTAAACCAGGAAAAACAATACTCTTAAACATTTAATCAATTGTGCAAGTAATTCCTAGTTTTCCAATATTATATGGTTAAAAATTGAAGGAGGAGATAGATGGTTTGCTCTTTAACTTCATATGGGCTTTTACTATCTCTAAAAGTTAGCCTTTTGTTTTAAAAAAAAAGATAAAACAAAAATTATTGTTTAATCATTCACAAAAGTTTAAAATACACAGTCATATCTGAACTTGCCAAGAGAAGTCCTGCTTGAGTCTAAGCTCCTCTTGGGTTCATAAGTGACTAATTATTTCCTAAGACCTGAGCTCAAAAATCAGCAGTGGGACACACAATGAACATGAACTTTTGGTTATTTGTTTATACTCCTTATTTTAATTCACATGTAATTATTTACTTATCTAAAAAAAACTACAAATAGTAAAAAATAAGGGGAAACCATACATCACCCACTGTTTATAATTCTACCTACAAGAAATCGTATTATTTATAATAGCTAAAGTAGATGGAAAAAAGTTCATTTTTAAAAGTAATTTCTAAAAAAATAAAGCATCAGGGTAAATTAAGATGGAAATTGATTTTAAAGTCAATGCCAATCTAATAACTACTGTGTTAGTTCTTTGATATTTTCCATGTATAACAATATATCCTCGATTAAGCACAACGACTTAGAAAAATAACTGGATCCAAGAGTCTGATTCTATTAAATCTTGTGCCAAGACGTGCTCCCTAGGAGTTCCCCGTGTAGCAGTGATGGTTGGTGAAAGGGTCCAGACAGTGTTCAGATGTGTTTCATGAACATATGCACCTTTGTACAGCATTTAACGTCATAGACTCCATACAGTCTGGAGAATTCGTATATTTCAATGTCTTGTACTCTTCTTTATTCTTTGCATTTTTCCTTACTCTTCCCTACTACACATCTCATTTTTCTCATTGATGAAAACACACTGCTAGTTTTCTCTTCCCAAATCTTCAGGAGACACTGAGGCAGGGATAGTCATTACCTACCAAATTATCTACATTTTCTCTGCTCACTTATTTCCAACACTTCATCCACACAAAACCTAATGCTATTAACAAACACCAGTGCATCCAGTTGTGTTCTATGTTTAAGTGTAAAGATATCGATCGAATAGATTCTAAAGAGATCATACACACCAACCCACAAGTCCTTAGCACGGTTCAATTTCTGAGAGTAAGGGAGAGAGAGAGAAAGTCTTCTTAAATACATCACATTTCAAATGTAAATATAGGGCTGAAAACTGCTCTGTCCTTTCCCATTTGAATAACCCATTCTTGTATCCCTCAATCGTGAATGGGACAGGCATGCCACTATTCATTGCCAAGTTTTGCTGCATGAATGGGGAAAAGCTTAGGAATCTTTAGAATCCTGTAATTAATCTCTGTAATCTCAGCATGTTGGCTAAGACCTTGCACAGAGCAACTGCTCTAAAAACACTTGCCAAAGAGCTGAGCACACTCCGTGGGACCTATTCTATTTACCCGAATGACTTCAGAGGTTCTCTGCAAGGCCAGAGTTCCTTGGCTGCACGAGAGTGGCCAAGGGCTGTAGAGATGGTCAAGGGGATTCATGTCATTCTATCTGTATTTGCCAGTTATTCATACTTCTGCCCAGTCTCTCCTATTTCAGTACCACAGCCCTACGCAGCCTTGGACAGTCCTAGTTTGTGTCTGTTGTCCTGGAAATATTATTTCACTCTCAAAAGTACCTTAGTTTGGATGAAGAATTAGTGTCCTCCTTGGCTAACCCATATGTAGAGAGCTTTCAGAGTATACTCCATGGGTGCAATAAGCAAAGATAATAAAGATTTAAAATGAAACCCCCATTCTTATTGGATTTGGGGAAAGGTTTCATTTGAAAATAAATTCTAATGGTGAAAATAGGAGTACACCAATATTCAAATACACAATGTCCCTAAGAGTCAGCTTTCTTTAACCCATTAAGTCCCAAATTTTCAGTTCTGCAAACATAATAAATATTCAAATATTATTTTAAAGTTCCCACAAGTGATATATTCATTGCTCGACTTAAGTTTTCATGGGTGTTCTGAGATAATGTGACAAAATGAACTCAAATGGGAATTATTTGTCTTTAAAATTAAAAATGGTAAAACATGAAAAACATAACAAGAAGAAACAAAGCATATTAACAGGAAGAAAATACTATGTAGTTCTCTCTTCTGGCCCAAGTAGTAGCTGAATTATAAACATATTAATACCTGGTCACAGCTCCTTCTAGAGGTGAAACTAGAACAAAACAAACAACACTGTGAACTCCACAGAAGCTAACGATAGTGTTTATACATCTCCTTCCACGGGCCTTTATCAACTTTTAAATTTTAACAAAAATACATTCTATACTAGAAATGCTTTAATAACCCATATAAAAGAATTAGCCCTACCAGTTTTTATGCTCCTGTTCCCATCTTTGTTTGCCACCCAAACTCCTTTGTTTCCCAAGACTTGAGGCAAAATTAAATAAGAAACATAAGTAACATGTAAGATCAATTCAAGAGTCAAAGAAAAGGTTTTTTAAGATGGATTTATTAGGAAGTACAAATGGCCAGGGTGTAGCACTGTAATAAATATTCAAAATCACATTATGACATAAGAGGTATCAGTTTTCATGTTCCCAGGGTGCATAAAACAAAACAGCAACTCACGATGGCTTGAGCAAGGAGATTTATTGTCTAATGTAGCAAGGGCAGAGGCAGGCTGGCTAGATCTCAGCCCAGGCTTCATCCGCTGACCGGCAATCAGGGCTCCCAGCTGCAGGCTCCATGGAGACAGGACGATCTTCAGAAGCAAAAGCATCACATCTCACTCTGCTTCTCTCTAGATTTGAGGAGATCTTTGCAAGATGTTCCCAGAAATCTTCTGTTTCAGATATAACAGTCCAACAGGACCCACTTCCATGCCTAAGCCAGCAAGAGGGACTGAGTGTCCACAGTGGCCTGATGGTCATTATGTTGTGAGTCCACCTCAGCAGACATGGCATGATTTAGAAAATGAATCAATTCCTTTACAACATACTTTGTTTTAGTTCTGTAAGCTCACCAGATAAATTAGGAGATTCTTAAGGTTTTGCACTGAGTAACTACATAATTATCCCTCCAATTTTAATTAAAAATGGAAGAAGCAATTTTAAAAAATGAAGTTAGCAGTTTAAATCATTCATAGCAATCTTGATCAACCAATAAAATTACCATGACTCAGGCTGGGGCTTTAGTTCAGTGGCAGAGCACTTGCCTAGCTTATGTAAGGCCCTGGGTTCGATCCTCAGCACCACATAAAAATAAACAAGTACTAAAGGAATTCTGTCCATCTACAACTACAAAAAAAAAATTTAAAAAAAAATTTTTAAATAAAAAAAAAAATTTATCCTGACTCAGTATTTGCTAACTTTATTCACTATTGCCCAATTCTATCTGAACAGAATGAAAAATGAACAAATATAATCCTTTCCATATATGTGATAATTGCAAACTTACTAAACTGCATATTGCATTCATTATTCAACAAGCATTTATTTCACACCTATTTAATGCAAGGTACTATTCTATAGTAAATGAACATACAAGATACACCTACCTTCAGGGTGAAGGAGCAACTAAAAACATTAAAAAAAACAAACATATGAACTGTTTAGAGTCTATTGGTTGGGATAAATGGTATAAGGAAGACCAGTGCAGAGAGGACCAGACATTAGGAAAGAAGGAGGGTCTATTTATATTAATGGGCAAGGAAATGGCTCACAGAGAACATCTCAACAAACTTCTGAAAGAAATCAGGAATGCAGCCATGACCATAACACTGGATAATTCTCCAGATAAAGGGAAAAGCAAAACAAAAATGCTTCAGCTAGGTAAGTTCTTTATGTGGGGAACAAGGTGACCAATGTGACAGGACAGAAGTGAGCCAGGACGTGAGCACCAGAAAGGAATGCCCTGGGACACTAGGTCACTGAGTGAACACTTCTCTTAAGAATCACAGTCATCCCTCAGTGTCCATGGAGAAGCAATTCTAAGACTCCCAAATATAACAAAATCTGCAGATTCTCAAATCCCTTATATAAAATGGCATAGTATTTGCAAATAGCCTATGCATATACTTTCAATCAACTCCAGATTACTCACAATACTGAATGTAATGGAAATATCATATATATAGTTGTTATACTGTATTTGTTTAAGTAATAATGACAAATGTCTGTACATGTTCAACAAAACGTGCACTGTCCAAATATTTTTGAGCCATTGTTTACTGAATCTATAGAAGTGGTGACTGAGTAGGTGGACCCTCTTAGATACAGAAGGTTGACTTTTTATGCAAACAGCTCTATAAATTAAATGTGGGAATTATAAGTAGTATTTTGCTTCACCAATTTCATATATCTATCCAATAAAAAGCTAAGATTTTTTGTAAGAATTAGTTTATCAACCTTTGGCTTACTAATCTAATGGTGCACACGGACTAATGCAAATTTTGGACTTTCCCATCCAGGTTACTCCAGCTATTGTGATTTATAAAGAGTAAGTCCTCAGAACTACTACTGCTTCATATGCCAGTAATCTAACAGTATAAAGTAACATACCTCAAGAATAAGGCCAACAGGTACATGAAACTTGGCAAATATTCTGGGAAATCAATACACTGGAAAGGCACACATACTAATTGTTACTAATCCTTCTTGTTGTTAGTGGCTTGTATAATCAGTGAACATGGATCTTAATAAGTATACTAACAGCAGTCCCAAAACGTATCAAAAATATGACTACCAGAATCTAAAAGCTGTCCGGTGATATAAATAAGAACCATACCAGCTTCAAAGTATCTTTATATGAATCAAGATGATCATGCAGATTTCAGAAAGAGGATGATGTAAATCACAAATTAAATACCAATAAAAGCATCCAAGAGTCTGG